ATTTTCTTGCACCTTACTTCGGTGAGAATGTGAAGGGAAAATAGTGCCTTGGAGAGGGTAAAAAAAGTTAATGCACCATAGTAGGCTTTAGAACTACAGAAAAAAAATGCTATTTGTGTTATTCTAGGGCATATTGCTGAACTTCTTTGGTGAGGTTAATAATTCTGTGTTCTTCGTATGGCCACATAAAAGGAGAAAAACACAAGCCAAACCAGAAATAAATAAAGGAAGGAAAATTGAAGGCGAATATATAAACTTTTAACATTGCAGAGAATTGGAATTTAGGTGTACTTTAAGATGTCAAACAACTTCAGGTAGTGATAAAAAAAAAAAAAACTACTTTATATAAGTGAATGTCAATAACTAAGATTTTAGACAACCAAAAGGGTAGTAGAAGTTTTAGCATCCTTTTGCACTTAAAGCTGGTTGAAATGTCAAGTTTAATTATTGTTTGCTAAGATTAAAAGGAAGGAAGACTAATCTGAGCCATTCATAATTAAGTAATAGTACACCACTGCGGTTGTCAAATGTTTGAGTGGGTATTGAGGAGAAATGGGAAAAAGTGTGTATCGTGGAGGAGCCCAATCCATACTCATCATGGTAAAGGTTTCAGCTTCACCTTAGGTTAATTTCAAGGGTTAAAAGGTTTCAGCTTCAGCATATGTAAACTGTAAAGTAGATGAGGAAATTAATGTTTTTTTTTTCTTGAGTTGACAGAAACTACAATATTTATAAGCTGGAAATAAATGCTGATGTCTACGTACTTATTTGATTGGCTTGAAAAGTTACATTTTAGATACTAAATATTTATGTTGTTAACATTCATGAATGTCCACAAAGGTATTGGTTATGTACGTGTAAGTACAAGAAAGTTTCCATGAATTTCACCAGCAAAAGCATCGCTTTTCAGCCTTCCACAGTTTCCTCGAGCTGCAAACAAATACGAATGAGCCTAAGTAATAAGGTAGCTAGGATTCAGACAAAGCATAAAAGCATTGTAAATTTTCAACTCAACCTCTCATCATAGACGCAAGTTGAATTTCTGGTGCGTGAAATGAATTTCTTGTCATTTGGTAGCTAATTACGGCATCATGATTGATGATACACCTTGGTTTTTTTTAGTCATTCCTTTTGGCCTTTACACCTCAAGAGCTACAAGTTGTCAAGCTAGGATTTTCTTAGATATTACTGGAAACTAAAAAGCCAATGCATGATTCTGAGTATAAAATATTCAAGAGCTTTTTGGGCAGCAGGCCCATTGATTGACCTTGGTTCCCTAGATTAATATTTTTGCTACGGTTAGGGCTAATGAATGAAAATTTAAAAAGAACAAGGAGGTCCAGGACCGCACTTAGCGTAGAAATAACAAGCAGAAAACTATCAAATTTCAAAAAGGGATTCTTTGAGATATTAATATCTTAATGGGCAAATGGACTCAGATCTTTGGGACGAAGAAAACATGCTTCTGCTTGTCTTTCTCTCGCGGCTAGAATCTCTCTCTCTCCATTGACACTGCATTTCATGCATCATCAAAGAAGACCAGCTATCTTAAAGATTTTTTTTTTTGGGTAGGTTTAATTCTTTAAATATGAGAGCTGGTGAAGGTTTTCTTGATGAGAAGATAAGAACGGGCCACAATGGCCTAATTACCAAAATAATACGGAATGATTGTTGCTAACCTAATTTACTTCTCTGGATCATTTGCATATTAAACTCTCTCTCTCTCTGAGACAAAAGAAAAACCGCTCCCAAAGTACAAGTCGGTGACTTCACAAGTCACAACAACCGTACACTTGCTCGAGCTTCAAAAGTACATGTACATGAATGAATTATGATGTATCTGTTGTTTCACATTAAATGTGGCTGTGTAGGAGTTTTCTTGAAAACATGAATCTCGTCGTCTAAAATCAGTAGAAGAAGACATTTAATTCAAGCAGAATGGAAGAAAGAAATCTAGTGCGTAGCTACGGATAAGGATTTCTGAATGTTGTGAAAGAAACCAAATTCTTTAATTCCATATCCTAAAACTGTCTCTATCTATTCATTTTTTCAACACGGATATCATCCTCGTAAGCAGATCTTTGGAAGAGGGTGTCAAAGAAAAACAGTAATTTAAGTTTCTTTTATAGGGTATAATACCCAGATTTAAGATAGAAAGCAACGGTTAAATGAACCAGCTCGATGCATCATTGGTCATAAGACGTTCTAGATCCACGCAGAGCAACTTTGTGCAGGGTCATGTTCAAATTGTTCTGCTGAAAATCTTGCTTATTACGTTTGCAGAATTGAAACTCTATCCAGGTTGACTGTAAGATTAAAATACATTATGCGGGTTAAAGCTAACCTAAGGGTTAATTTCTAGTTTAGTTGATGCGACCGCCTAAGTGCTATTTGTTCGTTAGATGTGACTTTTATTCCTTATGTTTTAGAAAAGAAGAACAGGAGATTAGTGGTCAAGGTTCAGCAAGAAGTTGGTAGCACTGGATCAGAAGAGAAACCAATAACTAATTAGGTATACAAAAAGAGTGTAAAAAGGAAGTTCGTGTCAAAAAGATTAGCTGAAAGAAGGAACGAAAGATGATGATAGAGGTAGCATGCGAGAGAACACACGGGATCTTCTACTAAGAAAATTGATGTCTCTCAAACTTCAACATAAGAGTAATTAGCCCGCGAAATGTGTGTCATTCTCTTAGTCTACTTGATATATAAAATGAGAAGTCATTTTCATTGAGCCAAAATTCTACATAAAGTCCCTTATTTTCAGCTTGCACTCGTTAGAAATACTTTTCATAATTATTTCCTCCCCATGCAGGACAAATGTTTTCTAAAAACTTTAATCCGATTCTAGCTTAACTAGCTATCTCCCACCTGACGAGTTAGAAGCTTAATGAGCCACTTGACATTTAAATCATCACATGCATGTAAAGTGGGTTATTAAGGCAGGGGGTGGGGGGAGGAGGGACCGCTGAATTGGACGGTAAGAGGAGAGGGATCATAAGTAGAGGGTTTGAATTCAAGATTTTTCACTTACAAGAAAAAAAAAATCTGTATACATCAAGTAATTTACTATGTAGATTAAGTATGTATAAGTTGAGTACATTTTGCATGCTACTTCACTCAATGTGTTGCCCTGTGAATTTATCCGTAATACTGAATTGTTGCATCTCAAATCTCATATTCCACCGGTTAGCAATACTACTATTTTTTCACTATTGACTACCAAGATCATGCATGAATAAAAGCATGGATAAGATAAGAAAAAGATTTTTTTTTAAAAAAAAAAAAGACAAGAAAAAGATGATACGTATCAGTTGAGGTAATGCTTGATTAGTTAATTAATGATTATTTCTTGGCAACAAAACATATCTTCATGGATATATACTCGACTTGCTCCATGCCAGTTGTCACTCCTCTAAATAATGGAAAATAGACCTTATATTTCTTTATATTTTGTGTACAAGAAAGTGGTAGGCACAATACACCTCCATTTTATCGTAATATACTAATAAAAAGTGATTAGGATGTTTAAGCCGAAGAGGAGTGCAAATATGTTTTTCTTAGGCGTACTGCCGATGTATGTATTACATTAAGGCAGCAAACTCTACGAAACTGAAAGAGTCCCCTCTGCAAAGGGGTTGGCAAACATGCTAACAGGGGACTAATCTAGATTAATTATTCCTAGAATGAGACACTAATGACTTTTGTTTAATTTAATTAAAGTAGCATGTAGATTAATCAAGCTGTTATTGTCGCCATGCACTTTTTGTAAATGATCAAGCAAAGACGCTGCAAGCGGACGCAGTTGCTGAGCTCAATTGTGAGTCCTAATCCCTCCAATAACATGTTTTCTATATCATCGTCAACTCCATCGTTTAACAAATCCATCACTTTATGGCATCCAAGAAATTGACTTGTGCCTTATCACTTGCCATCCTACAAGTAAGCCGGTTACCATGCACATGCGCCTCTTTTATCCCTCTCTTCAAAGTTCAATTTGATCTCATTTCCTTTATATTTTAAAAATGATTCAATATATGATAGACTATTATTCTGACACGAATCTGTCCTTTTTATAAAGTTTAAATTGATATTTTATGAGACACCCAACTCGTCATAAAGTAGAGTAAAAGATAACCCATCTCTTGATTTTGTTTCAAAACCATTCTCAAGTCCATGTTTATCGTATAAACATCTCATGTTTTTATATAATTGAGCTATAAAATACATTTATTTACTTATTTCCTCGAGTTTCCCTATTGTAGCTTAAAGATATATTCATCTAAACCATACCCATCCCCCCCCCCCCCCCCCCCCACAAGAATTCTCCTACCCAAGGGAATCGCACAAGGTGATCATGCACAAGCTACAAAGATTGGACGAAAGTAGATGAAAGCTCAAAATGTTGATATTCTTCATTCCTGACAGTAGTCGAGGCTAAAACCTCGAAACAAACAATGCTCAAGCAGGTGTGTTTTGTGTTCACCTGGCACGTGGCGTGAAGTCAAGCGGCAAGTAAGAATGTTGACTTTCAAATGAAAAGTCATACCCCGCGTATTAGGTATACAAGAATAGTCGGCAAGTGAAAGGCCCAGACATATATATATATGGGTGCTGGCATCAGCGAATTTGACCTTAGGATAATTTTAACTTGGTTGGTTGCTTCAATAATTAGCAAGCCTCAAAAGTCCACCCAGCTATCAACGCCGTTTCATGCAGGGGAAGACAATCAGGTCAACGGCACACACAAACACACACGAAAACACACACAATCATCTAATCAAGTTGGTAAAAGGGTGGGTCTAATGAAAAGTACAGGCAGTTTTTGTTCTGTCACAGTCGTTCATACTTGAAACAGATTTTCTACTCACCACAAAAAAGGAGAAGAAGAAAATAAAAGACACAGATTTCCAACACAACAAACCCACTGGGGACTCGCACTTGATTCTGGCCAGTTTTGCATCATTCTTGAACAAAGTTGAGAGAGAGAGAGAGCGGAAAAGTTGATCAATTACGTTGTATACTTTCCACATTGATGGTGCAAACGCAATTCCTAATTGGAAATTTGGGTAAATTATATTGTCAAAAACAGGAGTGTAAATATAGCTCGAAGTTTTGGAACTAAATCTTTGGAGCAGAGGAGTGGTTCCCTATTTAAAGCAACTAAAACTATGTACAGTAGCAAGACAATTCAACCTCAAGACGGAGATAAAAAAAAGGCTTCCATATTGGAAGAACAGCCTTGCCATCTTAACACCACTATGTTCGACAACCTGCACGTCAAAGTGTAAGCAAGCAAATTACGATCAACCAAAAAAAAAAAAAAAAAAAAGCATTTGACATACAGGGTTAGAATACATTAAAAAAAAAATGTCTTTTGTGAGCACTTACAGTCTGATCATGCAATTACGTCTCTCCTCAGGCTTTGTTGAAGTATATCCTAGCAATAGCAAGACCACAGAGCATACTGTTTTACTTCATGAAGATGTGTTGACAAAATAAAGGTGATGGAGAAGCAAGCTAATAATACTGCATTACTAGATTAATGAGAGTTAGGGAGCGGCAAGGATGAGAGTTGCAGATGTTTGCCTGCTTCATATCAACTTACTGTTCCTCTCAAAAATGAACAAAATCGTACAAAACAAGCAAATGGTTGCTGCAATATATTCATTATCATTTCAGATTCATTGCTGCTGCCATGCTTCTCAACTTCTGGGATATTTCTGAGAATGATGGCCTCTCTGCTGGATCAGCCGCCCAGCAACTTTCCATCAATGATTTCCATTCAGGATCGCACCAAGTTGGTATTTGTGGACGCAACGTGTTGTTTACAATCCCACCTGCTCAAATTATGGATAAATAATGAAAAGAGAGGAACTTTGAAGGGTGTAGCCAGATAAGGTCGAAGGCATTGAAGTATCTTTGCACATATACTTGGGCGTTTGATATCCAAACATGTAGTAGTAATCTATCCAATTAGGTCAAATTCTTTTAGTCAATTATTTGAACACGTGGTTCTTATTAAATTTGACTATTGGAAGACATGCACATACATTTATTTGGATTACAAATGACATTCATCTGATGGAGTTTCAAAATGTCATAGTCAAATTTATTGTTTTCTAAATCTGTTGCATCAACTATATACTGATTTTTAATCTATGTATCTGTCTTACATTTGATGTACTCTATACATACATACATACATACATACATACATACATGTGTGTGTGATGTACTTGCTATCATTGAGTACAAATATTGGAATGAAATTTTTTTTTATCCAAAAATTAATTCGTACTGTCTTGATATCTAGTATCAAAATACGTTTTATGCTACGTAGGAATTACATTGGGTTAAATCAACACGAAAATAAAGGTAACTAAAATTAAATAGACTCTATTGTATTCTAACTAAATAAGAGCCGAAGGTTGGTTAGATATTTTTGGGGAGTCTAAAGCTTTTTCACTCGAATCTGGTCCAAGGACGCGTATACGCTGGAGACATTTAAGGCCAAGTTGACCAAAACTTCACAAATGAAACGAGAGGCTGGGAAAGGGGAATCCATGCGTGCCAACGGGACAAAAAGCAAACCCGCGGTCCGTCCCAGCCGTCGCATGTGCTTTGAACTTGGACCAGTTTCACTTGGGTCCCTTATGTCTCGATTTCGGTCCATTGATCTTTCGCAGTACATTTATCAGTTTAATTTTGATCATTCAACTATTACACATCCACTCCTCCATCTTTTTTCTTTTTTTTTTTAACCTTTTTCTTCTTACATTGTGTATTTGAATTACAGTAGTATATCGTTAATCATCTGCAAGAATGGTGTGTTGAGAATAGTGGAGTAAGCTTCTTGGCAAGTTTATTGCAATTGCTAACATTTTTTCTCGAATAACAGAGTAAATTCGATAAGAGACACGACTCTGATTTTAATTATCCTTCTTCCAAATGAGGTTCATAATAATATAATAAGGTTGAGAGGAGAAACTAATCTTCTGCAATTGCACTTTAATAATTTAATTAACTTCACCATCACCTATGTACCATGTACTAAAATGTACACTTCTCTTTTTTAATATAGACTACTAGAAGTTACGGTTGAACATAAAATAAATATTGATCGTACATCCATCGAGCGTGCAAAAGAATTTATTCAGTTGCAACGATCACCAGTTAAAAAAAATGGTCAAAAGAATTTATTCAGTTGCCAAAAAAAAAGGCAAATAACCATGAACTTTATGGCCGTTAATTCCACTTCACCAGTAATAGGCACGAATATAAAAACTTCAAACCAAGTCTTGTCTAATTAACGCGAATGACCTTGGCCGTGATTTTAGACTTTTTTTAGTTATCTTCCTCCATAAGTGATACCCGATATATATTCTCTGGACCCTTGAAATTTTTGCCCCCTAGGTTGCACCTTCACGAGTAATACACACATTCTGAAAGGTTAAGGTAATTGATTTGATTAGACAAAGAATTGAAAAAACGTCCATTTTATCCAAGGGAAGACCTTGACGCTACGTTTGATAATTTGATTTCATGGTACAATAATAATAATTCATTCCGCTTTCATTAGCGTGGCAAGTCGTATAATGCAGAAGTTTTCTTCCAACTCAGATTCCAAGATGAGTACCATACCATCTCATGGAGACGACAAACCATTTTATCTCAGCATTGGATTTTTGGTAAGCGAACGCCAACTTAAGGAAAACTGTCAAACACGTGTTATAGTCTCAACAAGTAGCTTTATCATTTATGGCAGAGTATTCCCGACGGACGGAGGGCCTTAATTTGGATTTTGCCGAATAAAAATCAGCCATTGAACAATGCAGTTGAGAAAAGGTGATTTGACATGTACGTACCAAAAAAAAAGAGATTGGACATGTGATCAAACAGTAGCCATCACAAATCTCCACCTCTACAAGAAAGCCTATGCCATTCATTGGTATTCACGAAAAGAAATTTTCGTTCACGTTCTTGGCATATTAAATTAAGTGTCAAAAATAAAAATTTTTATATTATTGTTGTTTTAGTCAAATTAAAATTTTAGTAATTCTATTTGAATCAATTGATAATAATTTTATTATTTAATATTTTATTAAAAAATTCCTTGTGATTGTAAATTTTTTTTTACAAGTTATCTAATTTATAAATAGGGAGTTTTATTTTTGTCATTAGTTAATAAGAGTGAAATTTGAGCCTTGTTATTATGTGTGAATAATGATATATTATTGATTATTCCTCTTCTCTCACACATACTTGTATGCGTGTAAATTGCCTTCCCATATATATATATTTATTTTATCTCTTATAAATTTTTTATGAAATTTTTTTGGATTCTACAACTGGTATTAGAGCCTTAAATTCAAGAAATTGATCTTGTGGCGCATGTGAATATTGAAAATTTGTCCCAACTATAAAGTTAGTCTAGGTGTTTTCGCTATCAAAAAATTAGGGCACAAGGTTATTAAATTAGGCTTCAAGATTGGTCCTGAAATATCCAGTTGGTCAAGATTGTACTATAAGATTGGTTTGAAATTTGTTCGATTGATTGTGCATGTAAAAACAGATTTCAGAAAAGAGTCCTGACAATTGAGTTGTGATTATTGTAACAAAAAAGTGTTTGAAGATTAAAATTCAATATAAAGTGATGTTGTTAGAATTTGCAAGGGAGATGATTAATCGTGATTGCATTGAACCCGATTCAAGAGAGTTAGATTTAAGGGAGGCAATGTTAGCATATTAAACTAAGACTCAAAAATAGAAATTTATATATTATTATTTAGTTGTGTTTTACTCAAGTTAAGATTGAAATCAAATTATAGTAGTTTTATTGTTTAGAAATTAATATTTTATTAAAATTTCTTATGATTGTCTTCATGGAATTTGATAGCATTGTTATTTTGTATGAATAATGAAATGTTGTTGATTATTCCTCTCCTCCCATATTTGTATATGTGTAAATTGTTTTCTCATACATATTGGTTTTGCGAAATTTATATCCTATAGCTTCTTGTTGATTGGTGAAATTTTTTGGGCTCTACATAGGTTCTGTTTAAAGAAAAGAAAGTAGTGTGAAAATGTGTGGGAAAATGAGGTAAAAGAAAATAAAAATTAGTTTCTCATACAAGTTTGGCTAACAAGAAAAAATTTGAAAAAAATATAGAAAGTTAATGACAGTTAGTAATAGTAATTAAAAATTTTGTATGTAACCAACCACTTTTTTAAAAAAAATTCTAGAAATTTTACAAGATTCAAAATGTAGAAAAGTGTAAGAGAATTTTTCAACATTTTTGTCAGCCAAACATGCAAGAAGGAAACAAATGACTAATTTTATTTTATTGTCCCACACTTTTGCTAACAAACAAACGCCATCTTGATATTTTGTCAATGGGGTTATTCAGAAACCACCCTTGAGGATTTTAACTATTTCACTTGTCTCTCTCAAGATTTCAGTAATATCATTAAAATCCCCTAAGGTTAATAATTTTGTAACATGTTAGCCCATTTCATAATAAAAAAAAAAGATATCATGAGCGAGAACATTTTATGATTCCACCAATGTCCCTCATGTAGTAGATTAATTAGTTGATTAAATATGTTTTACCAAATAAAACTTTAGGGGATGTAAGTGTAAATTTTGTTGAATTGCAGGGGGAAGCAAAAGTTTGTGAATGGATAGCAATGCTTTACAGCCGTTCTCCAACTGTGACTATATATAAGCCACAGAAACATTTTTAATGTTATGTATATAAGATAAAAATATGGTTAAAAATGTGTTAACGATGCAAACAATGTTAAATATGTTTTAACTAATTTTGCCAACACAATTGTGCAGATTTGTTTGGACAGCAATTTATTTGGCCAAATATATTTGCTTACATCATCATTACAATTTCCAATACACCTTTTTACCTTCTCAATTACCTTTTTATCTCACATACATCACATCACAAAAAGTGCTACAGTAAAAATATCTCAAATAATTTACAATCCAAACAGAGTCTCCCTATGTTTCTGACAGGCGAGGTTAGTGATATTACCAAAACCTTAAAAGAGGTCGGTGAAATAGTTAGAACCCTCAAAGGAGGTTTGTGAAATTATTCCTTTGTCAAATATAAATTTTTTTTCACCACTAGGGTTCTAAACGAGTCTAATTAAACCAAACACTCTACTGTTTAAATTTGTTTAATTATTTTAATGAGTTTAAAAATTTGTTAAAGTTTGATTTATTTATTTGTCGAATTGAGTTTGAATAAGTTTTTTTTAATCAAGTTTGAAGTTGTCAAATATAAAATACTGTTCAAATTTGATTTCACTAATTGGCGAAGCACATTCAAATGTGCTCTCATTAAACCGTGTTCGATTCGAATATCGACTAATTTTTTATCGAGTATGGAAGTTGTTAAATATAAATACTGTTAAAATTTGATTTGATTAATTGGCGAACTAAATCTGAATGAGCTCTTGTCAAGTCGAATTCGATTCAAGTATATAAATAAAATTCCATTTTTATCAAATCCAATTCGATCCGAGTATCGAATCATTTAACTCAGGTGGCGTTTGGTTCGCACATCGGTATTGGATTCGGATTCGAAATCAGATATCTTGGGTTTGGAATGAGGTCATTCATTCAAATACATTTGTTTGGTTCAAGTACCTGGAATGTGTATCATTATTATAGTTGATGTTTGGTTCGTCAACTCTTTCGGAATGGAATATAATAAATATATTATAAACCCCATCGTAAATGATAGTTATTGGCTCTTTGTAAATGGGATATAAGAAATCTTCGCTAATTAAATATATTAGTATAAATGTATTAGTAAATTTAGTCTAACTAATTAATAATTTCTATTAGTAAACATGTATAATTATTAGTATAATGGATAATATTAATTATATTACATAAATT